TTTTATGTTTGTATGTCACGCAAAAACCACTGAACGGATTTCGATGAAATTTGGTACGCAAATAGTTTATGACCTGGATTGAGGCATAGGATACTTTTTACCCCGGAAAGTGTTAGCTCCCTGAGAGATTTTCATAAACTAAATGCAACGCGGGCCGTTTTAGTGTGAAATAAATAATTACGTCGCTGTACGACTGCTTTTGCAGATATTGTGATATCCAAAGAAAAAAATAGTTTTCCCAGACCACACATCTGAAGTGAAACTTCATTTCTTAAGTAACCTAACATTAGGCGGTGCATAAGGCATAGGGGAATGTAGAAGCACACACAGCACTCATATATATGTATATATATTGTTGCGTGTAATGCTCGCGACACTCGTAGCGTTTCAGCCTTCGCGTTCGAGTTACTCTCTAACTTTCAAGCTCGTCGTACTTAGGGGCGTCCATAAATTACGTGAGATGTTTAAGGGGGGGACGGGGTCGAGTCAAATCTCATCTAATCTTACGTTGGAGAGAGGGGGGGTCTCGGCAAATATCACGCAATTTTTTTCTGATTGAAACAAAAAAAAAATACTATTTTGGTTCATTTATTCCAGATTGTACATGCTTAAGATTTAATCTTAAGCGTAATCGTAATACGATTAAAGATCATTCACTAATTCGTTCGAAAGAAAATAATTGCATTCATACTTCGACGTTATACATGACTGTCAAACCACCATATTTGTAACAATCCAACGCGTTTACGTAAGAAACCCACATTTTGTAAAATCTCACGTGAGATCGGGGGATGGGGGAGGGGGTTGAATAAAATCTCACGACATCTCACCAGGGGGGGAGGGAGGGACAGAAAATCCAAAAATACACCTCATGTAATTTATGGACGCCCCCTTTTCCGTTTAAACTTTTCCATTTACACCTCGTCTAGAAAGAAGTTTCACTTCAAAAAGTAAAATCATTAAATTATCGTCCCAGGTATCAGGCTTAAAATACATATTCTCTAAGTAAAAATATGGGATTTATTAAATCGAGCTGTGAAATCTTAAGCAAGGCCCGATCTAAGGGGGGGCGAGTCGAGCATTTGCCCAGAGCGGCAAAATTAGTTGGTCAGCCGTAAAGTACGTAACTAAAGGGCGGCAAACTCTTTGCCCAGCGCGGCAAAATTAGTTGGTTAGCCGTAAAGTACGTCACTAAAGGGCGGCAAAAATCTTTGCCCAGAGCGGCAAAATTAGTTGGTCAGCCGTAAAGTACGTCAATAAAGGGCGGCAAAAATCTTTGCCCAGAGCGGAAAAATTAGTTGGTCAGCCGTAAAGTACGTCACTAAAGGGCGGCAAAAATCTTTGCCCAGCGCGGAAAAATTAGTTGGTTAGCCGTAAAGTACGTCACTAAAGGGCGGCAAAAAAATTTGCCCAGCGCGGCAAAATTAGTTGGTTAGCCGTAAAGTACGTCACTAAAGGGCGGCAAAAATCTTTGCCCAGAGCGGCAAAATTAGTTGGTCAGCCGTAAAGTACGTCACTAAAGGGCGGCAAAAATCTTTGCCCAGAGCGGCAAAATTAGTTGGTCAGCCGTAAAGTACGTCACTAAAGGGCGGCAAAAATCTTTGCCCAGCGCGGCAAAATTAGTTGGTCAGTCGTAAAGTACGTCACTAAAGGGCGGCAAAAATCTTTGCCCAGCGCGGCAAAATTAGTTGGTCAGCCGTAAAGTACGTCACTAAAGGGCGGCAAAAATCTTTGCATAGAGCGGCAAAATTAGTTGGTCCGCCGTAAAGTACGTCACTAAAGGGCGGCAAAAATCTTTGCCCGGTGCGGCAAAATTAGTTGGTCAGCCGTAAAGTACGTCACTAAAGGGCGGCAAAAATCTTTGCCCAGAGCGGCAAAATTAGTTGGTCCGCCGTAAAGTACGTCACTAAAGGGCGGCAAAAATCTTTGCCCAGCGCGGTGAAATTAGTTGGTCAGCCGTAAAGTACGTCACTAAAGGGCGGCAAAAATCTTTGCCCGGTACGGCAAAAATCTTTGCCCGGTACGGCAAAAATCTTTGCCCGGTGCGGCAAAATTTCTAGATCGGGCCCTGAAGTATGAAACTAGGAATCCCACGGTACCTTTGTATCAGTAGTAGTTGCGGTGGGATGTTGGTGTTGTTGCCTGGCGCGCCGCTTCTCCACGTGACCGAAGCAGTGCTCGCACTCGTCCTCGCTCTCGTCGGAGTCCGACTGTTCGAACCGATACGGTTTCTCGTATATGCAGCAACCTGGGTCACGGGAGCAGCGTAAAGATTACACCAATATTGGCTTAGCTTAGCCAATTAACAAAGCAGGTTCTTAGGAGTAATGTTTTTTCTATACAAACGTTCTCGACTGATTCCTCCTTGATTCGAATCATCATCATCATCATCAGCCTAATCATCATTAATGTCCCCACTGTTGGGGCACAGGCCTTCCCTATGGATGGAATAGCGAGATTGGGCCATGACCCACAAAATAGGGGCTGGTGGTAGAAGGGCGAAAATTTAGAGTTGTATGTATGTTTTAATGCCACATTATAAAAAAAAAGTCCAAAAAATATAAATAAATGTTAGGGGTGGACAACCCTTATCACTTAGGGGTATGAAAAAATGATAGTAGCCGATTCTCAGATCTACTAATATGCATATAGAATTTCATAAAAATCGGTCAAGCCGTTTCGGAGTATGGTAACTAACATTGTGACACGAGAATTTTATATATAAGATAAAACTTTATTTCAGACTAAAGTGTCCATAGTCAGTGTATTTAGTTAGTAACATTTTCCCTTAATCTATGTTAGTAATACATTTCAATTTCATTGATATGTCACTTAAGGCATTTAGCTTGGATATTCGTATTTGCTATTTGCAAACCTGACAGCAATCTTTCTTATCATGCTTTATAAGGAATGAACAGTACAGACTTATGTCAAGTTTACAAATAGCAAACACGAATAGCAAAGTGAAGTGGCGGCATGATATTTGTAACAACTCACATTTGGATTTCTTTTTGTTCATGTTCTCGTTATCGACGGTGTCCTCGGTCCAGACGACCTTCTTCGTCTCGCGCTGCTTGGTGCGCGTCGGGCGCAGCGTGATCACGGCCACCGGCTCCACAGGTTCCTGGCAAATAACAGCCATAAATACCTATAAGTCTCAGTGTGCCAGACTGTCCCCCCAGGTTCGAGTGGTCTAGAGGCTCCAGACGGAGAGGAGACCCCCGTGGGGAGATGCCATCCGCCTGGAATACCTCTAGAGGCACTCGCCAATTCTCGGCTTGAGGTCCCCTTAGGATTTCGTTGACCCCAAACCATCATCACCCCCAGTGGCGGGGCTAAACCACATCTGGACGTCGGCGACATCAAGTTCGCGAGGCCTATTTTACTTCGCAGTAAAAAACCGTTAAATTAAGTGAGCCAAATTATAAAATAACGTATGAGTAAACGAGTTTTATTGTTGATAATTAAATGATAACAAAAAATAATTAAAAACATAGAAATTTAATTACAAAAATAGTGTTGCCAGACAGACGATTCTGAATACCCGTAAAGTACTACTCGCTTCCATCACGCACGTGTTCGAAAATAATAAAAGTCATTATCATCTGTTTAGCTTTTTCCCCGAATTGTTCGGGGTCGGCTACCTAAGCCAGGCCAGGAGAAACGAAAATAAATAGGTAACTAGTAAAAATTTTTTGCCGTCTTTTTGCAGTCGCCGACGCCTAGCGCCGCCACTGATCACCCCAAGTCATCTGCGACCAACAGCATACACACTAAAAAACGCTTCTCGCCTAAATGAGTGAATCCATTCACATTTATAATTACCCCATTTATTACTAGAGACCTTGTTCGTTTCGATTCGGTGAAGATTATAGTATATTTTTCTCAGACTTGAATTTTACTTACGCATATGGTTTAACTAGCACCCGCTGACTCGGCGGGCTTCGTACGCTCTTCTCTCAACAAGTCTACGGGTGTTATCGCAATAGCGGCGGCTGTGGGAACCGCACAAATTGCGGTTTAGTGAGTTTTGAAATAAATCACAATACAGGTCCACGTGAATACAGCTCCGTGAGTTCTTAGCTTAAGTGGATCTACTACAGATCTCGTTTGTAATTGTCCCATATACTAAAGATTCCTAGTGCTATTATAGCTATTAATGGGATTGTTACCATGTACCTTGTTTTTTATGAAAAAGAAGACGCCAGAGGGAAGACCGATACCTCTGCCAATAACATCTACCCGCAATTACTTCAGTTACTCCGTGATCATGGCGCTTGCAACAATGCCCAAATATCGGAGACTCATAAAAAACAAGGTACATGGTAACAATCCTGTTAAAAGGTATAATGTTAGTGACCATGAAAGTTTAAAACAATATTCCTAGTGCTAGTATTAAAAGTCTAATGAGTCATTGTTCCACATAAATGAATATGTTGCAGGAGATTCGCGACTGATCAATCAGTTACCCACTATGTGGTGTGTTCTAACTAAAAGCTTCAAAAGAAATAGGCGAGTTTAGAAACAATTTGAGTAAAGGCTTTATTGATTCTATATTTCTTTCTAAGAGAGGTTGTAGGCTGAGATGATTAAATGAGACTTTAAAATACACAATGATATTTATTTTATAGTGCGTTTAGTGATTCATTGTTAGCCTGTCACATACCCAAGATCCATACAGCTACATACAGCAATTTTATTGGTATTTATTTTAAAGAAAACATTAATTTTATCAGTAGAATAAATGTATTCATGTTCAATTTTAGATTCTTGTAGTCAAATTAGATATTTACTGAGCTAAGAATAGAATAGAAAAAATAAAAATAGATACATATGCCAGGTAAATTTTATTTATGTTGGTAATATTGTAGTATTATAAGAAACTGAAATATAATTGGTGAAATCTTATCTCACAGGCTAAATCATACTATCATAATAAACATTTAAATCATAAAATGTAAATGTTCATACATTTTTTATTACATCAAAAAGAGAAAAACTCCGTTCAACTTTAAAATTACCGAACAACCTTATTTGCAAATAAATCATCAATTTTTCTATTATGATATCCAAGGAAATTAGACAAGACATCTCTAGTGTGTTGACCTAAAGTGGGAGGTGCCGTCCTAGCATAGTTGCCCCCCACACTGTAGACTGTTGGGGGCCCCACCATCTTCACCGTGCCAGCATCAGGATGGGGCAACTCTTTGACCAACTCTATCTCCTTGACATGCTCATCATCGAAAACATCCTTCATCTTGTTCACAGGTCCATTAGGAAAAGAGGCTTTTTCAAAAGTCTTAGCCCACTCTTTATTAGTTTTTGTAACTATGACATCACTTATTATTGCAATTAACTCATCCCTATTTGTAACTCTGACAGAGTTGTCTATGAACCTTTCATCAGTTATTAACTCTTTCTTGCCTATCAAGTTGCAGAAGTCAGCAAATTGAGCGTTTGAACCTGTTCCTATTACCATTTCTCCATCTTTAGTTTTGAATGATTGATACGGCACTATGTTAGCATGTGCGGTGCCCCAGCGCTGGCCTTCGATGCCATAGTTAAGGTAAATGTTAGCAACATTTATCATACTTGAGATTTGCGTGGACAGGAGGTTACAGTCAATCTTTTGACCTTTGTTAGTCTTTTGCCTGTAATAGAGGGCAGTCATGATGGCACCAAAGGCATGCAAGCCTGTTGTCACATCTGTGATGGCAACTCCAGGCTTCGCGGGGTTACCATTCCTCTCTCCTGTCACATTGAGTAAGCCACCCATGGCTGAAGCAATTACATCATATCTGAAATTATCAAGATGTATTGTAAGAAAAATATGTTAATATCTCTTTAAATGGTAATTGTAGAGGAATTTATCAGGTTTGGTGTTAAATTATATCGAGCCGTAAATTATCGTAAGCGACACTTTTGTCGAAATGCGTTTTTTGTGGAAACTAATATTTTAAACCGTAACGGACCCATCTCTGTTGATATTTCCCTCTATTCTTCCCTCTATTATATTATAACGGTGTTCTTTTGGAGGGAAATATCAATAGAGATGGGTCCGTTACGGTTTAAAATATTAGTTTCCACAAAAAACGCATTTCGACAAAAGTGTCGCTTACGATAATTTGGCGGTAACGGCTCGATATATACTTGCCCAGGTTTTTTTGCATAAGGCCCTTTAGAGCCAAATCCTGTGATTGCACAGTATATGAGCCTTGGATTAATGGTTTTCAACTTTTTATAACCTACATCCATTGTGTCTAACTTCCCAGGTAGATAATTTTCTACCATCACATCACATTTCCTTGCTAAATCATACATTACATTTCGTCCTGAAAAAGTGAAATGGATATGGTATGATTTAATGCTAATAGAAGTTAGTAAACCATGAGAAATTATTAAATTTAAAGAAAAGTTTACTAGAAAAAGAAATCCACGCGGACCAGGCAGCGGATGGGACTCGAACCCGCATCCTTCGCTATCCGGGCAAATGCACTGACCATTATGCTACCACGGCCCTATTAGCCGCGTCGAAATTTTCCTAGCCTTAAGCTGCAAGGATTTTTTTCTAGTAAACTTTTCTTTAGATTTAAACATCTAGCAGTTAAATGCTTAAAAAATAAATAAAATCAATTATTAAATTAATAATAAGAATATATATAAAATAAAAGAATAGTATGATTTCAATATTGAGAAACTTACCATCTTGTGATTTTAAATCTATACATATACTCTTCTTATTCCTGTTTACGCTTAAAAAATAGAAAGAGTCATTCTTCCCGCCTATAAAAGGGGGTCCCCACTTCCTAGCCTCATCCCCTTCAAGACTCTCCACTTTGATAACATTTGCACCAAGGTCACCAAGAGTCATGGTGCAAAATGGACCGGCGATAACTCGAGTAAGATCAAGAACATTGATGTCGCCAAGTAGAGCCTCAGTTTTAGTAGCATAATTTGCTTTTTGTTGTAATATTCGGGCACTTAAAATCTTACACGTATTTTTCACGAATGTCATTGTGATCTCGATTACAAGACGTAGGTAAATACATACAATACACTCTAGTTTGCTATAGTTATCTTCTATAGTTATCAAGTAAAAGATAAGGTTACTGTTTTCTTCTAAAACTAACTAAACAAAAGTGATGATTGTATTATCAAACCTCCTGAAGGGGGGGTGCCACAGTGGCAACTGCTGCGCTGGTGGTAGCCATTTCGTCTGCTCTCAGTATTCGTTCTCCCATTAAAGTTTTATCAACACAATATTTCACATCATACGCGTAAATCCACCGAATTACTAATGTTTTGCTGTGAAATATTTTTTAACCTCACGCAAAAATGAAGAAATGTCAATGTCATACAAACGTCAGTATCGGTAGATATTAGTTTTAAAATTCGCCTCATGATAAGACAAAGAATATTAAGTCTATACAGAATAAGGTATTCCATTAGGTATTACATTGGTGACGATACTGGCATGATTCTCTAAACTCAAAACTAAATTTAACATCAGTCTTTCCTTTTCAATCTGTATAGAGCGTGATAAGGATACACTGTTGTCAAATTTAAGTTCAGGTTTAGAGAATCATGTCAGAAAGAAGAACACCATTATTTGCACTTTTTTTTATAATTTTTCGCTCCTTAAGAAATCCTGTCTCTAAAGCTTCATATTATACTTTTGCATCAGTAATAAAATTCTAAGCTGGATGATTTGATTGATTAACTAACAGTCATGATAATATAATTAAAATAAAGTATACGTTTGAAGCTCCACGGCTAAGGGCGTAGGCAAGAACGTACTCACCAGGGTGGGGTTAAAAGTCGGAACACTCGAAATGTAATGAAATTTTAAGCTGATTTTTTATAACAGATTACATCAATTGCTCTGATGATTGAATTTTTAGACCAGGGGGCCATTCGCTTACGGAAATGCTTTGGAAAACGCTAACGCTTTCGAATTTATTTTGTTATTTCTGACCGCCGAAGGTTTTCAAATACCTCACGTTCATTTTTTTTAATATTGTTATTACCAATGCAAAAGAAAAAAAAGAGCGCGAGGCATTTGAAAACCTCAAGCGGCTAGAAATAACAAATGAAATAGTAAGCGTTAGCGTTTTCCAAAGCATTTCCGATAGGCGAATGGCACCCAGCTGCTATATTTTTTGACATTTACAATGGTGTCGAATCTGGCACGATTCAATAAACTTAAAACTAAATTTAACATTAGTCTCTCATTTTGATTCTGAATGACAAGGATACACATTTCTTAAACTTAAGTTAAGGTTTAGAGAATCATACCAGAATAGACACCAGTGGTGTCCATTGTTACCTGCACTACTGAACATTCAATGCCGCTGTAACCTTTCGATCTAGTACTAGCTAGGAGATATCCGGAATTCTTCATTTGTTTGTCTGTAGAAAATTAATTTTTAGTTTTCGATTGAATGTAGCTTCACAATGCTCTTAGATAGGGTTTGATTGTCAAAATAAGAAGCAATTAAACAGCTCAATATTATTATGTATTAAAATATTTCAAAATCAACAGGAAAAATGTCAAATGTATAGAGATTGGCAATCGAGGTACAATAATTGGCCCCTACATACATAATTATATCAGTGATTGGCCGTCTGGATATTCTTTAATTCTATTATATTTACCGCAATTAAGATACTTAGATATGTATAATGGCATGTGCAGACGATGGACTTCAGTCCGCGGAGGACAAAAGTCCTTCAAGCTTGAAAAAATAATCACCGAAGTCTAGTGAAGTCCCCGGTGTGCGGACATTTTGAGGGCCATAAATTAAAAAATGCACGCACAAGTGAATCTTTTCAAATTATATTGTGTTGAAATTAAGAAACATGAAGTTTAAAAAAAAGAGAACGATTTAAAAATAATACCTGGCTATCTCTTATAATCGCAACGCGGACTAAATTTCGCTTTGTGCATTGCTGTGCCTAGTCACATGAGTTATATTTTGGAACGAAGTTCATTTGCGTAGTGTAATAGTCTGCAAAAGGCGAAATTTTTACATCAAACCTAGCGAGGCAGATAGCTCGGCAATTAGCTACGCTGCTAGCTCAGCAACTAGCTAGGCTGCTAGCTCGGCAACTAGCTAGTTGTCTGGCTAGCAGCCAAGCTAATTGCCGAACTAGCTAGGCTGCTAGCTCGAACTGGCTAGTCTGCTAGCTAAGCTAGGCAACTAGTTAAGCTGCTAGCTAGGCAACTAGTTAAGCTGCTAGCTAGGCAACTAGTTAAGCTGCTAGCTAGGCAACTAGTTAAGCTGCCAGCTAGGCAACTAGTTAAGCTGCTAGCTAGGCAACTAGTTAAGCTACTAGCTAGGCTGCTAGCCAGACAACTAGTTAAGCTGCTAGCTAAGCAACTAGCTAGGTTGCTAGCTCGGCAACTAGCTAGGTTGCTAGCTCGGCAACTAGCTAGGTTGCTAGCTCGGCAACTAGCTAGGTTGCTAGCTCGGCAACTAGCTAGGCTGCCAGCTCAGTAACTAGCTAGGCTGCTAGGCTAGGCTAGCTCGAACTAGCTAGGCTGCTAGCCGAACAAGCTAGGCTGCTAGCTCGAACGGGCTAGGTAACAACCTAAGCTATACAACTAGTTAACCTGCTAGCTCGGCAACTAGCTAGGCTGCTAGCTCGGCAACTAGCTAGGCTGCTAGCTCGGCAACTAGCTAGGCTGCTAGCTAGACAACTAGCTAGGCTGCTAGCTCGGCAACAAGCTAGGTTGCTAGCTCGGCAACGAGCGAGGCTGCTAGCTCGGCAACTAGCGAGGCTACCAGCTCAGCAACTAGCTAGGCTGCTAGCTCGGCAACTAGCTAGGTTGCTAGCTCGGCAACTAGCTAGGCTGCCAGCTCAGTAACTAGCTAGGCTGCTAGGCTAGGCTAGCTCGAACTAGCTAGGCTGCTAGCCGAACAAGCTAGGCTGCTAGCTCGAACGGGCTAGGTAACAACCTAAGCTATACAACTAGTTAAGCTGCTAGCTCGGCAACTAGCTAGGCTGCTAGCTCGGCAACTAGCTAGGCTGCTAGCTAGACAACTAGCTAGGCTGCTAGCTCGGCAACAAGCTAGGTTGCTAGCTCGGCAACGAGCGAGGCTGCTAGCTCGGCAACTAGCGAGGCTACCAGCTCAGCAACTAGCTAGGCTGCTAGCTCGGCAACTAGCTAGGTTGCTAGCTCGGCAACTAGCTAGGCTGCCAGCTCAGTAACTAGCTAGGTTGCTAGCTCGGCAACTAGCTAGGCTGCTAGGCTAGGCTAGCTCGAACTAGCTAGGCTGCTAGCTCGGCAACTAGCTAGGCTGCTAGCTCGGCAGACAACTAGCTAGGCCGCTAGCTCAGCAACAAGCTAGGTTGCTAGCTCGACAACTAGCTAGGCTGTAGAAAATTAATATTTAGTTTTTGATTGAATGTAGATCTCTACAATGTTCTTAAATAGCTAGTTGCCGTGCTAGGCTAGGAGGTTGCTAGCTCGAACTGGCTAGACAACTAGCTAGGCTGCTAGCTCAGCAACAAGCTAGGTTGCTAGCTCGGCAACTAGCGAGGCTGCTAGCTCAGCAACTAGCTAGGTTGCTAGCTCGGCATCTAGCTAGGCTGCCAACTCGGCAACTAGCTAGGCTGCTAGCTCGACAACTAGCGAGGCTTCCCGAGGCTCTACGACCTTAGAAATTTACCCTTTTTTGCAAGAAGGAAACTCAATAATTGCTGTAAATAGCATAAAAAACAGCATTTTTCTTCTTTTGGCATTTACAACAATTTCCCTATTGCAATTAATGTGGTCTTAGTAGGGGAAACTGTAATAATGTTGCCCACCCCACAATGATTGACCGTCTTGCATTTCTACTAAGATATAAAGTATAAATAAAATATTAAACACGATATGTTTTTATTATTCTTTGATGGCAATTCTTCAATCTACCAATCTTCAGTAGTTAGTTGACCTCTACAAAGGGCATTTGTTTGAAAGAACAAAGGTTGTTGCGGTTTCGCATGTGGAACAAAAAGGCAGCCATTTTATTGAAGTCAATAAGAGATATGCTTTGGCTAGGCGATGCGACGCCGCTATTACGACTCCCCGACCGCTGGTTGGCGACTAGACGGCACAAATTCGATCAGCCATAGAGAAAGTAATTACTCCGTTTTAGGAGTCAACACTTCCTGAATGGAGTGGTTACTATCTCTAGCGGAATGGTCTCAGTGCGGAAATGCCCCACTGATTAATTACTTGAACAGCAGCGGCACAAAGTACGTAACGACTTAACGAGAATTAAAAATCAGTACACATTTGACAATGACATGCGATATTGGTTTGTGCGATTCGTATTGTTTGCGAGTCCGAAATTTCATTGTCAAATGTGTACTGATTTTTAGTTCTCGTTACGTACCTTGTGCCGCTGCTGTTCAAGTTTCCATACAAAATTTGACATTGACATTTCGGTTTGCAAACTATTCGAATTCGATAATGGTTCGTGCTAGGGGTACTGCTTTTTAATTATGTGCTCCAAAGTTTTTTTTTTGTAATATTCTGTTTAAAGTTCGTTTTCAAAGTTACCTATAAACTTAAGCGCTCCGTTATCATTATTATCCATATTCAGCCCTAAAAGCAGGGGAGTATTTTATAATCTGGCACCCCGGGCTATATACGATTTACACCCACCTAGATTATTAGTAAATGAAATCAAAATATGGGTCAGTAACGATTACTTTTATGTCCGTAGTTTCGAAGCTTACCGAATGATGCATCCCCTTATCGCCGGGCATGTGTGGATGGCATCAGAACGCTGCCCATCCGAGCTTAAGTCAATAATAATTATAATTATTTTTCTCAAATTGGACTGATTGGACACAGGATGGTCGGTCACGACCGGTCTGCGATCGAGGAACTTAAGAAACTTTCGCGATCAGACCCCTCTTTCCCAGGGGACACTTTGGGCAAGTGCTCAGGGCCCCGCGATCGATAAGGCCCCGCGATCGATAGGATAGATCCTCAGATCAAATACAAAGACCCTAGTTCCTGTCAGATCACCAAACGATAACCAATATTTATTACCAAAAAACTACAATACCAACTTACTAGCTTTTACATAAGCGAAGCTATTCTATTCCCGCCCAAAAATTTAGCTTTT